CTGACATGTTCCCGCAGCTTCATATACAGCAGACGCCACGGCTTCCGAAACCTGAAAAGCGCACCCCGAGTCTTCTTTCCAGCACAAGACCCGAAGGCAAAAGCACAAACTGAGCCACAGGAACTCCAGTAACCAAACAAGTCACGCGTGCAATTTCCAAACAAATTGCACACAGCAGACCTATAACGCCACAACCCCCAAAGTGCGCGTGTCTTTTTCCCGTTTTCCGTTTTTTATTTGCGTTTTCAAGAAATCCGCAGGCCGACCTCGCATTTTCCTTTCTTCCAGGGACGCCTTTCCCCGTGCTGAGCTAAACGTTCCAGGAACAACAACGAAGTGTGCTCGGAAAAACACCCCCCCCCCCTCCTCACCCCCTCCAGGCAGCGCGGGGGCCGGGGTGGCGAGAGGGGTTTCTGCACCCTATGCTCCAGCAGCAACAGGGCTGAGACGACTGTGCTACACCAATCCTCCTCCCCCCTGCAACTCTCCCACAAACATATGTGTAGGGTGGTCTTTGGAGAATGTTTTGGGGGGGGTCTTTTTGCTAAGATCCAACTTGCAGGCCAAAGGTCGGCACAGACATCAGCAGATGCATCAGATGAGAAAAGAAGTTTTTTTGCGTGTGCAGTGCATGGCTGCTCATGCATCAGGAGTCAGTAAGGTGCCCTGTCCACTTGAGGGGGTTAACCGGAGAACTCTAGCATGGGGGTAGAGAAGTACGTTTCGGGGAGCGGGTTCCTCTAGAGAGGGGATTGGGGGGGCGCTGGGACAGCCCATCTGGTTCTCGTTGCAGCGAGAACAGGTTAGGAGCAAAAAAAAAAAACAACAACAACAGCGAAATCCCTTCGACTGCAAGAAGCCGAGAGATAAAGGGGCCCCTCCCTGAAGGCAAGGGGGGAAGGAATGGGGTACCGTTGGAGCCGACGTCCAAAAGCACGCAGCCCTGCAGGTGACCGAGACACAGAGACGCCGGGTACCGCGGCACCCCGGCGCATCGGAACCTCTGTTTCCGAAGCGCGCGCACACCCTGGGACGCAAAATAGAGGCGTGCCAAGCAGCGGGCCGATCGCTTCACAGGGCCTACAGCCCCTGAATCCTTCAGCCAAGCGAACTGCGGCCTGCCTCTCTGCTCCTCGTCTCAAAGTCCAGAAGAAGACCTTCATCCCACTGGTTCAATTTTCCCATTATTTGCAGCTCAATGGAGCCCCATTCCTAAAGCACTCTTTACCAATTCTGATGGCACTGAGAGGTGCCGAGTACTGGTCACTACTGATCCCTGGGTAGGGGTGTTATCTCCTGGCTAAACCCCACTCTGGTCTTGTACAATCTGCCCTCCCTTCGTCCAGCTGTCCATTTTTTAACCACTTCATCTGTACTCCCTGGACAGGACGCCAGAAAATAAGACAAGAATTCCAGCAAGAGGGGGTTGGGGTGGAGCGGAGGCTCTGTGGCTCAGGATCTGCGCCTGTGGCTGGAAGGTTGCCGGTTCAAATCCCGCAGAGGAATCCTACTCCGTCGGGCCCTGAGCAAGGCCCTTCACCCCAGCTGCTCCAGGGGCGCCGTATAAATGGCCGACCCTGCGCTCTGACCCCCAGCTTCTCTCCCTGCCTGTGAGCCTCATGGAGAGCAAGCTGGGGTCTGCGAAAAGACACATTCCTAATGCAAGAAACTGTATGGGGCCAATAAAGTGATCTGATCTTATTTAGCCCATGTGTCTCTCGATTGTTGGAAAGCGAAAGACGACCTCTACTTTTGAAGATGTGGAGTTCTTCAACCAAGTCACCTCATAGCCTCCTCTATTCCAGACTACGAACAAACAGATCCATTTCTTGTTTCCCATGTAAAATACTATCCTTCTCTAGACTCATTTTAGAGCAATGTCTTGTTTCAAACAGCACCAGATTAGAAATGAAAACCATATTGTGTGTGCCATTTGTGTTAGGTGAATACAAAATGTCTGCAATTTTCAACAGACCCTAATTTGTTTTTTCCATACCACCCTCCTGGCTATGCTCATCAGGAACACAAAGTACGATCACTCGCAGGTTTTTATCTCAATCATCTTACGGGATGCTTTTAGGAAACAGACATAATAATAATCCTTACACAAAAATAGCGCTTTTCTGGACTCTCCATTCAAAGTGCTTTACGGGTACTGGGGATCCCCTCCACCACCAGTGTGCAGCCCCACCTGGATGATGTGCCAGTCCCCCAGTACCACCACTTGTATTCTCAAAGGAATACAACCAGTATTGCTACAAGCCAATACAAATCATCCATCTCCACAGTTTGACCAGTCCACCAATCACGGCCCTCGCACTCACCAGTCACCTGGGCTCTGCGCGCTGATTGGAGAAAAGCTGTGAAACCCGGCAGGCGATGTCACTTCCTGTCCTGTTCTGCTACTTCCTGCAGGCGTGACCTCTGAAGGAAAAAAAAGACGACAAAGGGAAATTGAGCACTTGTCCTCTTCCTGCATTGGGAATGTTTGCACAAACTAGCCTAACCAGCAGGTCTCTTCAACACGCCCTTGGGAGAGCTCTGGTCAAGACCAGAAATATTCATTTGACCAATTAGCAGCTTTTACTGGCTGCTAATTGTTAAAATTAGGTATGCTCTTCATACAGTCTTATATACCTCATAAGGCTGTGCTCAGTTTAATGATAAGTCGCACAAGTCTGCAACTCTGCAGATTTTCAAGGTCATGTCTTCGCTCTTGTAGAATAAAGATGTTGGGGTTCAGCTCTGCTAACACTGGGGTTGCTGTCTCAGAGTGGCCCAGGAGACCCCTGTTCGGGGTTGCAGCTCTGAGGAGGCTTGGAGCCCAGTTTTCGGCAGGTGTTCTCTGGGTTCCCTGTGGTGAGCTTTCCAGCCTGCTACCATCAAAGGAAACCCCGAGCGCTGCTTGAGTTGGCAAGAGAGCTTCAACTCAAGCCAGAATTCTCTGACAGCACAGAGGGAGAGAAGAGGGGAGAGAGAGAGAGGCAAGGAGAAACAGATGCTGATGAAGTACAGGCTCAGTGACCACCGCCTGGCCATAGAGACTGGACACAGGCAGACCTGGCTGTCCAGAGAGGACAGGCTCAGTGACCACAGCCTGGACACACACACTGGCCACAGGCAGACCTGGCTGTCCAGAGAGGACAGGCTCAGTGACCACAGCCTGGACACAGAAACTGGACACGGCAGACCTGGCTGTCCAAAGAGAACAGGCTCAGTGACCACAGGCTGGACACAGAAACTGGACACAGGCAGACCTGACTGCCCAGAGAGGACAGGCCGTGCTCCCACTGCCAGCGGGAAGAAACAGAGACAGAGGTGCACTTCCTACTGCACTGCGAGACAAATATTCTGGGATTAGACATTCTTCTCCACATTTACCAATCTAATCACTGTGCCTGTCCACCCCTCGCCTCAGTCTTGCAAGGGACACAACCCATCTTTTAATGCTCATCAGCCTCCATTGGCACAATTTCAGCCCCTTCACTCCACCATGAACCTGAGAACGGCTGGTCTCAGCTGTAGCCACTCTGGCTGATGTAGAAGCCAGGACCTCCTCCAGCTGTTTCTTCGTCAGAATTCCTTACACTTACACGGCACTCTTCCGGAGACTCCACTCCGAGCGCTCTCCAGGTAATGGGGAAAAGAAGGGCTTCCTGAAAGAAGCCAGCAACACTCCAGCAACACCTTGAACATGGCCCAGTGCGAGAATCGTACCCGGGTCAGAGGGTGAAGAATGTGGGCACAGAGGAAGAGGCAGAAAACAGACCAGGGAGAGTGGGGGGGAGAGATAACAGGGTCTTCCTGATTAATAGGTTAGCAATCACAATGCTGTCCTGAGCTTAAAGGCCTTGGACAGCCTGCTGATTGACCCCAGGAGAGCGTAGCGTTGCTGGAATTCGGACAGGACATTTGGAGAGTCGGAGACTGAGTGGGACCAGCCACTCCCAAGAAACTAAAGAGATTCTGTTCCTGTAACCTGTCCATGCAAAAGACAATCCTTGAGGGATTGAGGAATCAGCCTGGTTCAAAGAATATTGGCCTTCTCTGGTGGGAAGGCTCGGGGCAAGATTCCATGCTCTGTTTTCACAGGTGTGTTATTTCAAACGGGGGTGGGGGGATTTAACAGAACTCCAGGGAGGGACGTGGGGGGAGAAAATGTAACCCAAGAAGGGCCCGGACGCTGCACACCTGATAAAATCTTTCCCAGCTCAGAGTTTATAAATACGACCCATGGAAAGAAAGTCCTATCCACCCGCCGGATTCCTAACAGCAGCCCCGCTCCATGGGATCCAGGGGGTGAAAGGCCGCCCAGATTCTCTTACAAGCCCCCCACCGCCCCACCCCCCACTCCTGAAAAAAATACTGTAACAGGACCTCCCCAGGGCAGCTGAAATCACACACTCCCATCACCCCTGCCTGGGGAAAAAAGTGTGCAGCAACTTCCGCGCTGACCCAGGTACCTGATCTTACAGAAAGGGCGGCGCTGTACAGCCCTGGCTGGGAGCCATCCGAGTTCACAGCAAGCAGGCCGGTGTCTTCTTCCTGGACATCAAACTCCAGACAGCTGCACAAGAGCTCCGAGAGGCGGGACGCCCCGCCCCCCTCGGCCACCCCAAGCCCCGCCCACGGCCCCGCCCACGGCCCCGCCCCCTCCATCAGAACCCACAGGGCGTCCTTTCCGACACGCGCAACGTAATTGCATCCAGCTTTTGAGCCCGCCTCCCGGAAAGGAGCTCCGATTGGCCAACGTTCTTCTGGTTAACAGGGATCAAAGGCAGCTCGGGCAGCCGCGGATTCGGGAAAAAACATACCGTCCTCTCCTTCTGCTCAGTAACAAGTAATACCGCTGCCCTGGAAATCAGGCCAGAGAAGAGGAAACGGAGACGTCTCAGGGCATCGAGGAACGTCCACCCCAGGCCAGGCTGAAGGAACCGAGCCTTTTTAGGCTTCGACAGAGAAGTCTACGAGGGGACCCAAGACAGGAACTCAAAATCCAAGGCAGAGGCATCGACATCGTCCACCCGGTTGGGTACCGAATGAGCACGGAGAGGTGTCTGGTACTCGAGAACCCAAGCAGAATCGACCCGTATCTCTTAGGATTTGCCTGTCCCCAAATGACACCTTGGTGTGATCTTTGGTTGAGAACTCCTTACAAGATGAACCACATGGCGGCTGTGCCCTTGCCCCTAGACTCGCCTTCTTGAGCAAGAGAAGGGACAGGCCCCGCGCCCATCTCTTCAAAGCCAGTCGCTACTGGCGGTAAGCGGATCCTTCCAGACAATCGGAGGAGGCGCTTGCCCGCGGGCAAAAACTGCGGGCCGGAGGGGCGAAGAGAGAGGGTGTGGATCCCCGGCACTCGGCCCAGGATCCGGCTGGGCTCCCGTCACCCACAGGGAAGCCCGAGGAGACCCTCCCCTGCCAGACGTCTTCGTGCCAGAACAGAGTGGGAGAGGCAGGCAGCGGGAACCGTGGTGGAAGAAGTGGGATTCTTTCCGGGCGCGAAACGTCAAGGCCTTGGCACCTCCAGCCAAACGATGAGATGTCGGCGCCCGGGGTGTTGCCCGATCGCCAACGTCTGTCGGAATAAACTGGCACCGAGGTGCGAGCGACGCCAAAAGATTCCCGTCAAGTATTATGGAAATGACGCAATGCACAATTATTGCCAAGTGGCAGCAGCCAGAAAACCTGACATGGATCCAGAAGCTATGCAGTAGGAGTCTCGGATCTTGCGGAGGGATTTTAGGTTGGCGTCTGCGTCTCTCCAGGGACCGGCTGCGTGGGTTATGCAATTAAAGACTCTGCGACATAGCCAGTTCTCGTATCAACAGAGCCAACCCAGAACTCCAGGGCCAGGTTATGTGCACAAGGCCTCACAACTGAGCAGGGACACACATGAGATAAGATCTGATCACTTTATCGGCCCTATACAATTTCTCGCATTAGGAATCTGTCTTTTCGCAGACCCCAGCTTGCTCTCCATGAGACACACAGACAGGGAGAGAAGCTGGCGGTCAGAGCGCAGGGTCAGCCATTTATACGGCGCCCCCCGGAGCAGCTGGGGTGAAGGGCCTGGCTCAGGGGCCCAACGGAGTAGGATTCCTCTGCCGGCCGCGGGATTCGAACCGGCAACCTCCCAGCCACAGGCCCAGATCCTGAGCCACAGAGCCACCACTCCGCCCCCAGACACATGGCTGCCCCCCTCTGCCAAAGATGGGTAGGGTGCCACAGCCTGTACAGTGCTTCAAGTGCCAGGTACAAGCATGGGAGGTGCCAGTTTTGATCGTGCACAGTCTCTCCGTGCGAGGCCACACCCCCAGCCTGCACTGCAACATCCTAAGCACCCCAAAGACATCCAGACTGCACCCCCAACTGCTACTCCCACACGGCTACCCACCCAAAAGGTCAAATATATCAATTCCAGAACCCCTTACTGACCCTGTATCAGGATTTCGGTACTCCTTGAACCCAGAGGCCAGTCCACCTGAGACCAGCAGGGCTCCTGTGTTGTGGGAGAGCAGAATTCCAGTCAAAGGACTGAGGGTCTCCATGGTCTGCAAGCTTGGCAGATTCTGTGCTTGTAAGCGTAACCAAGTGGAATCAGAGAGAGTCAGACACTGTGTGGTTGGGAGAGGCCTGAAAGAGCAGGCTGGGGTCTGCTGCACTTTGCACGTTATTGGGGTGCAGGTGGGAGATCTGGGGATGACTGGGCTGCAGGGTACAGTGTCAGGGGCCTGAGCCCCCAGAGGAGAGTTCAGAGACCCAGTCTCTACTCCCTGCTGCCCCAAATAACCGACTGCCCGTCATCGGGATCGAGGATCGATAAGACAGGAAATACATTTTCCTGCTTTCGCAGCACTAGCAAAGCGGATGCAATGCTCTAATATGCAAGAACAAAAAATAAGGAAAACGTAAATATTCTATCATGATATTCACACACCCCTCGCTATGATTTGGCGAGATCACGGCCGCCCCGAGGTGCCGGCGGAACCAGGCGCTCTCGCCTCAGAAATTAACCGTGTCGATGACACACATGTGCGTGTGAGCCGGGCGAAGCCGTGTCGCTGCGCTTTTCTGGAAACGTGTGCGTGAGGCGTTCGGGGGGGTGGCGCAAAAAACTAAACAAAACAGGCCGTCCCGGGACAGTAGGCACCCCGGCGGACAGGGCAACATTAGTCTGTCTCTTTTCCAGCTGTTTTTCCGGGGTGTCGTCGCCGGTCCGGCCCCGCTTTCTTCTCACAACCGAGTGGGAGAAAGCGGCTGCACAGATAGGCTACATCAGCGCCTTGCGCCCGGGCGCTCAGATGCCTGTACGTGCCCAGGCTCCGTCTGCTTTCAGACTGCATTTCCCGCAAGAAGGGGATCTCTGGAGGAGGAGAAGTGACCTCCGACTTGATCCCGCGGGGCAGATTCCCCCCGGGGAAAAGTCCACGAGCGGCGGATCCGGTGGGATCCCCGCACCGCGGTCCCCCGAGACCCACCGCTTAGCACGCTCCTGCACGGGGCAGGACAGCCCTGGGGGATAAAGAGACGCCAGTGCCCCCCCAAAAAACACCCCCCCCCCCCCCCCCCGTGCAAAACAAGAAAATCAAAGCGACTCCGGGCCAACCAGCTGTACTGAACTGCCCCTTAATTTGCAGTTCACGGTCCTCCTCCGCGCCAGCGATAACTCGAGAGCGGATCTCCGTTTTCTCGAGGAGAGGAAAAAAAAAAGGGGGTCGATCGATCCCTGCTCATTAATCCGCGCCCCCACCCCTCCGCCGCCGCCGCCCCCCAGTTCTGCGCGAACAAAGACCTGAAATGCTCTCGGAGCCCCGAGAAAGTTTTGAGGGAGCTCCCTTACTCGCTTCGCTTTAAAAAAAAAATATTAAAAAGCGACAAAAACGACAAGACCGCTGGCTTCAGTGTTTGAGATCATATGATCCGCCCCGCGTTTCTGTCCCGGTTCGGAATCGCCTAAACACGTTTACACGGCCGCAATCCCCTCCCTACACACACACACACATTGAACAAATCGAAAACTTTTTTTGTCCTTCCATTCCACAGAACCACACCGCCTTCCCCAACTTTTGGAGAGAGAGAGAGAGGAAAAAAAAATAATTTACCTGTTGCGCTCTTTCGCCGGTGGTCTTCTTCTAAAACGCCAAAGAAAACCTCCTCTTCGACCACCCGCCCCCCGGTCCCTTCCCCGGCCTCATCCAGTCTCGACAGAAAAGAAATCACAGGTCGCCGCGATTCCTGTCAAGTTCTCTTTTTTTTTTAAACAAAAAATGTTTCTCTCCCGTCCTTAAAAATGTATCTGGGAGATCTGCACACACAAGGAAAAAAAAATGGGGGAAAAAAAGTTTCAATGTGATTTTGACATCACATCCCCCTTCCGGCCACTGGAGGAGAGGGTGGTAATGAGGGAGGGAGGGAAACCGAGGGAAGTCGATTCCCAGGACACGGGAGAGCGCTGTTCGTCCCGTTCCTGAGCTCCAGACTGACGGCGTCCACACAGTCACAGAATTGGACTGGACAATAACACAATAACAAGTTCATTTCTAGGAGCAGCAGCAGTAATGTGGTTCAGTTTGTCTAACCTTTGTCCCCGCACCCACTCGCCGGTTCTCCCTCGTCAGAAACGCACCCTGCCTCTTTAATGAATTATTTACCGAGCATTCACTTTTAAAAGACCCCCCCGCCGTCGTCGGAACGGAGATGAGGACTGTGGGGCTGTTTTTATTTCCCTTGTGCTGGTTGTGAGGTAAACGACACTCTGACTCTCCCCCACCCACACCCACACAATCGTCAAGGTTTGTAAGATTTGAAACCATACAGTGGACTCAGGGCGGAAAGCAGGCAGGAGCGTCATCACTTCTCCTCCTGACGTCGTCCTTAAATGATTAAGGTCGTGTCCTCTTTCTCGTTCACTTTCCCTTCATAATCGAAATGGTCGTTGTACGCATTTTCTGATTGACTTCTAAGGGGCAGGCTTTGAGATATTAAGTTCGGGGCTATCGTCATACCTGGCCGAGTGCAACGGAACGTGCAGCGTGTTGGCCTCCCAGGCCGAATGACGCAACAGGTGAGGACATAAAACACGGCCGCAGCGGCGAGACAAAACATGACGTCACCAATGACATCACGGTGCCTGGGGACAGGAACCGGGCAGCAGTTGTGGTTTTAACCAGCATTTAGGTTGCAGCTGTGTGCACAATTCCAGCAGGGGCTGCATTTTGAGTCCAGTGCAAAATTCCAGCAGGGGCAGGATTTTGAGTTTAGTGCACAATTCCAGCAGGGGCAGGATTTTGAGTTCAGTGCAAAAACAGAGGGGTGTCAGTGGGGGATAGAGGATTTAAGAGGTGGGGTTTAGGAGTGTGGGGGCTGCAGGGGCTACACGTGTAAATGAACTTTTTTAGCTAATGGGAGCAGCTTGAGAGCTGCGCGCTGTCCCTCTTCACTAAACTTAAACCCTCTGTGCCCGTTCTTCGGTTGTGTACCCCTGGGGGTGCCGCATATTCGACAGATCTCCTTCCAACCCAGGTCCACAAAGAAAACGCTAAATGATCGCATTCCAGCCCGGTCACCCATTACACAACTCCTAAAGGCACCTTAGGTGGCTGATGGAATGGCGCAAGGTCTACCACGCAGAATTAAATGGCCTAAGTTTTTTTTTACCCACATCCTGCATGACAGCAGTGTGAACCAGGCCAGGTTCAAAGCTGAAATATCCATCTGCTCCCTGCTTATTGAAGCTGTGTAAATGTGTAATTACATCATTTCTGTGTGCAACGTGGTAAAATGTGGCACTTAGCCCAGCTCAGATACAAGGGAGGCATAAGATCTTACGTATCCAAACCAGAGGAGACCTTCCCTGCTAGTTAGGTAGTATAGCAGCTCTTCCCCGTCTTGGAAGAGCTTGGAGTTTTGGCCTCAACCCCCTGCTTGGGATGCCTGTCCCAGACACCTACAACTCTTTGTGTAAAGAAGCATTTCCTATTCTCCATCGGAAACAAAGTCTCTTTTAGTTTCCAGTTGAGACTCTAATGTTCTAGTGTGAAGTGGTCAATACCTCTTTGGAATGTAATTACTTTAATTAGATCAAATCTCCTCTCCATCTCCTTTCTTTCCAGACTGAAGAGATTTAGTTCCTTGTCTA